GGATTTCTATTTTTGTTTCCACAGAAAATGAAAAGATGTGGATTCCTTCCAGACTAATGTGGTTTGATCACGCCATACCGCCTGAAACAGAGTACAAGCTGATCCTACATTCAAAACAGCTGGACAAAGCAGCCCCACAGACTACAGCCAGGATTTCCTGAGTCTTCTTCTAATCCCCCCATGACAGTGCCCCTTGCCAGCAGGAAGTAGTTTGGAAAGAACAACGCCCAAATTCTCAAATATTATGTATAAATGTTTGTTTTCATTTAATTGGACTTTGTTATATAAAATAAATTAAAAAAAAAAGAAAAAAAAAGAAAAGTTTAGAGACTTACAAGACTGCAGCCAACTAACAGTTTGAGCAAGGGTGGAAAGGCTACAACAAATGCCCTTCCCGAATAGTGAGATCAACAACTAACTTATCCACCATCGTGGAGCCCTCATCTAGTACCTGTTGGAACCAGAAACAAACACCCATAACTAAACACTGAGTCAAACTAGAATCAAGATGCAGTGGGAGAGGACAAGACCAGGTTGCAGAAATACATAGAGACAGCTGACCTGAACAAGGAGGAGCTAATGGGTTCCCAGACTGATAGCTGGGAATCCAGCATTGGACTGACTCAGGACCCCCTGAATATGGGTCTCATCCAGAAGGACTGAGCAGTCTAAGGGACCTCAGACAGTGGAACCAGGATGTATCCCTGGTGCACAAAATGACCTTGTGAACACATCCCCCATGGAGGGATAACTGCCTTAACCTAAAGACAGGAGAGAAGTCCTAGTCCCTATTTTAAATGACTTGACAGATTTACATGACCCCACCTGGATGGCATTGCCCTACATGTGGAATTGGAGTGGGGGATGGGAGGGGAGGGTGGTCAGGGTACATGTGAGGGGGGTAAGAGGGAGGGAGGGGGAACTGGGATCAATATGTAAAATAAAAAAATTAATAATAAAAAGAATTTCAAATAAAAAAAAGTAATTGATCTCTTGATACAACTGTTTTTTCTTAAAGTAGAGTTTACTTAGAAAGAGCTAATCAGTTCTAATCAGGACTAAGTGTGCTCTGTGGACATTGGTTTATCATAATAGATTCTGTATTCTTTTTTAAGTTTTATTTACTTTATTTCATGTGCATTAATTAGTGTTTTTGCCTGCATGTATGTCTGTCTGAGGGTGTTGGATCCCCTGTAACTTGGGTTACAGACTGTCATGTGGGTGCTGGGAGTTGAACCTGAGTCCTCTGGAAGAACAGCCAGTGTTCTTAACCGCTGAGCCATCTCCCTGGCCCCTCAATTCTGTGTTCTTATGTATGTCCTTGAAAAGGTAGTGGGGCTGAGGAATTCCTCTCTTTTATTTCCCTTCCAGCCAAGCACATGTTCATGGATAGATTTACATGTAAAATTTTACATTATTAATGTAAAATAAATTCAGGATTAACTAGAAGGCAGTAGCAACAATGAATGATTTTAAAACTTACACAGGCAAATTTGGATCCAGCAAATAAAAGTAAAATATTTGAAAACATAAATTCCAATTTAGTACCTTGGTTTTCACAGTCAAATATTAATATATACATATGTATATATTAACCACAAATAAAATATATACATATATACATATATACATATATACATATATACATATATACATATATACATATATATATATATATATATATATATATATATATATATAATTTTTAAAGTGTTTTAAATGTCAGCCAAAATTTCTGGAACTGTGTGTGTGTGTGTGTGTGTGTGTGTGGCAAAAGCATATGTATGTGAGGGTGTGGTGGGGTGTGCCTGTGTATTCAGAGTCCCCTTATTTCTTTAGAAAAGCTCTCACTGAATCTTAAGCTAGGATGTTGGCCAGCAAGAACTAGCAATAATTTTGACTCACTCCCTCCACCTAGAGACTCTTCTATCCATCAGTGAGCTACAGTGTGGCCACTCCCAGATTTTTATGTGGGTCCTGGGATTCTCTGCTGTGCAGCAAGTGCTGTAACTCACTGAACCATCTCTGCATCTCCAAGATTAAACATTAAGAGATTAGAGGCAGGGCTGGGGAGATGGCTTAGTGGATAAAATGCTTGGCATGCAAGCACGAGGACCAAAGTTCAGATCCCAAATTCCCACATAAAAGCCATGTGGGAATGGCAGCCTGCCTGTGACACAGAAAAGGCATCCCATTAGCTAAGAAGGATAGCTAGACTAGCCAAATCAGTGAGCTCTTGGTTCAGTGAGAGATCCTGTCTCAGGTGGAGTGAGATTGAGGAAGACACCTGCTGCCAACTTTTGGTGTTCACACGTGCGCTGCAGCATGCGCGCGCCCCCCCCCCACTATAATAAATGTTTAAAAAAACCCCTTGCATAGTGAATTTCATAAAGTATCTCCCTGGCTTTTTTCAGGTGGATTCAGGCTTTAGTCTCATATTTAAGCCTTTGATCCATTTTAAGTTGAGTTTTAGTGGTGAAAGACTTGAGTGTGATTTAATTCTTTTGTATGGTGACATCCTGTTTTTTCTAGCAGCAGTTACAAAAGAAATAGTCCTTTCCTGGACATATGTTCTTGGTATGTTTGTAAAAACCATTTGGCTATAAATGTGTCTTTATTGTGTGTGTGTGTTTAATTTTTATACATGTTTATATGCCAGTACTCTCTGTAGAATGTTTTAAAAGTCAGTGGGGGTAATATCATCACACTTACATCTTTCCTTGATAGTTTTGGCTGTTGGAGGTATTCTGTGACTCACCTATATGATGCTGGAAGAGATGTTTGCCTATGTCTATAAAGAAGACTGGCATCTTGACAGGACTTTCATGGACCATGTAGATCACTTTGTATACCGAAGACATTTTAACAATATTGATTTTTATGGTCCATAAACATGGAGTACTTCCTATTGACTACATTCTTCTCAATTACTCATTAATGTTTAATAGTTTGCATTGTAAAGAGTTGTATATCTTAGTTGAATTTATTCTTAGAAAGCTTGTTTTTACTGCTTATTTATTTTCTTGGATTCCTTGACAGATAGTTTAATATAAAGAAACACTGCAGATTTCTGTATGTTGATTCCTTTTATCATGCAGTTTTACTGAATATATAGACTATGAGTTTTTTGAAGTCTTTATTTTTTGAAAATATGGATTAAAATATTATCTTCAAGTAAAGAAATTTGCCTTCTACCCACTTTAGATGTCCCTTGTTAAAATGTGATGTTTTTAGCGCAATAAAAGATAGTACTAGTGTTTGTGTTTTCATCATTTATATTTTCCACACTTTGTGTGCATGAATCACTTTTAAGATATAATTTCAGATTTCATTTAATAAATTTCAGCCAGGTGTGGCAGTGCACAGCTTTAGTCCCAGCATTTGGAAGACAGAGGTAGGTGGATCTCTCTGGTTGGTATAGAGTAAGTTCCAGGATAGCTAGAGCTATAGAGAAAAAGCCTGTTTCAAAAAAACCAGAAATAAATAAACAAACAAATAAATAAAATTTCCTTTATAAAACTAGTAAGAAATGTTCTAATTTATTTCTTAAGTTTCCTGACTGAGAATGGCCAAAGGGACTCAAGACTGTGTAATAAGGTCAGGGACATGGTTCCTATAATGTAGAGGACAAAGTACTTTTGTAAGTTCTTGGGTGGTCTAGATGGATTTCCAAGTTGTTATAACAATCTTTATGTCATGAGATGCCTTGCCCAGGTTGTGCAATGTAGCCATTACAACCAAGCAAACCTGTTGCTCAGCCATTTCACTCCTGTTTCCTCTTGTCCAAATCAAGCTATGTCCATGAAAACACGGTTTACTAGATATTTTAAAAACTACCTAGTGAAAAAGACTATAAAATTTTCTGTAGATTTGCTGATCATAAAGATAAAAGAACTACTTTGAAAATATACTATGATCTATTGGGGGCTTAGAAATCTTCATTACTTGATAAAATCCAGTTTCAACCAACAGCTGGTGACATCAGATACAATTGTTTTTTCACAGATGGCCCTCTGCTTTCTACCCACAGAGCTTCCCACAGACTCCTTTTCCATCACCCTGAGACTGCCACAGGTGGTAGGTGTGGTACATGACACTGGCACCTTTCTGCAAGAGATGCTTCAGCTTCCTGCCAACTTCAGGGCTGCGCTGGCCATTCCAGTAGGGAGCTGTGGTCTTTGTTGTTGTCTATGGCTGCACTGACCTTTCCAGTTGGAGTGGTGGTCTTTGCTGTTATTTGTCTAGTTTTTGTTTTTGCTGTGGGACAGAAGGTGGGGAAGAAAGAGGAATCTATGAACTTTTCCAAAAGTTCATATTTCTAGTTTTAAAACAATGAACTCCATAGTCAACCATCTATTTCCTTTAAAATAGGTCATTTTTTTTTGTTGTTGTTTTCTTTGTATTCTGCAGAAGAGAATTTATTTTGAGAAGAATGTGGACACAACTAACTTGGAAGTCAGTTTCAGTTTGTACATAGTGCATTAATTTGTCAAGAGTTAGTTCTGAAAAGTAAAGTAACTGTGATACTCCAAAATGTGGATTTGAAAAAGTCATCTTTTAATCAGAAGAAATAAATCAACAACATTTCCTTGGGCAACTATATTCCATAACTTTCTATTTCAAAGATGTGGAAAACTTCCAGGGATTATGTTTGAAGAGCTACTTGCTGTTGGGTTTCCCACCTTTGGTTAATTCTGTTTTTAGAGTCTATAGCTACTTTGCTACATTGTGAGGACATTGTAGGGTTCAATTCATGTGAAGACTTACCTATGCAATAAACAATTTCTTTAAGGTATTACATTATTTCTTATTTTATTTTTTTGAGACGGGGGTCTCAGGTAGCCAAGCATGACTTTGAACTTCTGATCCTTCTGCCTCAAGCTCTTGAGATCTGAGGTTACAGATGTGCACAACAACACTCTGTGTGTGGTACTGAGGTACTTGAACCCAGAACTTGGAACATCTAGGCAAGCATTCTACCATTGAGTTATATCCCAGCTTATATCACTTTTTATTTGTTTCAAAACATACTGAACAATAATGAGTTCTGACATGCAAAAGAGGATTTAGCTTTTACACCTACTTTTAGTCTTTGTCCACAATTAAACAGAAACACACAGAAGTGCATTAAAAACATGGATTTCTGAAGGCCCACTGTGTGCAAGTCATTTTTTTTTGTATGGAAAACACAAAGATTAGGCTATCAAGAACACACACACACACACACACACACACACACACAGAGAGATAATAAAAAACCATTATAGAGATTAAAACAGATCCCTACAAAGTGTAACTGGGAGTTGATAGTGAATTATGCTAAACAATGGAGGAATGTGTAGTTAGTATTTGCTCAAGGTTTTGACAAATGGCTGGAGATTCTCACAGTGGGTCTTACCCAGTGGAGGTAGGTATGGTGATATATTGTTTATAACTTAATAAAGCCACAAGATATAAAAATGCAAAGCTAGCCACAGCCATAGAGCCAGGGAGTGGTGACACACCTTTAATCGCAGTCACCATGCTAGATAGTCATAGAAACTGTCAGTGGTGGTGCCCACCTTTAATCCCAGCACTTGGAAGGCGGAGACAATGGCTGGGCAGAAAAGGAATATAAAGCGGGAGAAGACAGGAGCTCAGGGCTTTTGCTACTCTGAGGATTTGTGTAGACAGGGTTGCTATTTCAGCTTGGTATCTGTAGGCTTGGCTGTGGTGCTTCTCTGATCTTCAGCTTGAACCCCAATATCTATCTCTGGGTCTTTCATTTTCATGTTACAAGTAGGCATTCAACTTCTAGAGAACATAGTTTACAAAAGCATGAAGGCCTGAAATGTAAAATAATTCCTGAAGTGGATAGGCATCACTGGAATTTATGGCAGAGATTAGGCCGACTCACTTGTTTCTCCAATTCTTAGTTCCATTCCTGCTTCAGCTGCCAGGTCACAGAGCTCTGTCTCATTAGTGTTTCTGGACATCTAGTAGGTAATTTCTTACCTGCTTTACGGGCATGACCCCGTTCATGAAAGGAATACAGCTGGTGCCTCTGTGGGTGTGTTATTCCCCAAACAAACCCCCCACTGCCCAGTTTGATCACTCCCAGTTCATTGACATTTATTACTGAAGCCTTCATGGCTGTTTTTAAACTAAATCTACTCTTGAAGAGTGAGGGCAGGCAGTACTTTGGGAATGCTTAAAGTCCTGAAAGTAACCCTGAGATGGATTGTGACAAGGCTGATTTTTAAGATGATTCCTGGAGGACCAGAGAGATGGTATAGTAGCTCAGAGCATTTGTTGCTCTTGAAGAGGACCTGGGTTCAGTTCCCAGCACCCACATGGCAGTTCACAAACCATCTATATCTCCAGTTCCAGAGGACCTGAAGCTCTCTTCTGACCTTGGGTACCAGGCATATACATGATACATATACATACATGAAGGCACACACTCAATGCACATAAAATTAACTAGATCTTTAAAATCTTTTGAAGAGAATACTCCTTCAGGTATACACACTCTGATGTATTTGAAAACAAAGCACCTGCTGTACCACATGCCTATGGCTGTTTATGTATCTGGGAGGCTGAGGGAGGAGGCTCATCTGAGCCCAGGTGTTTGGTGCCACGATTCACAGCACTCACTGAAGGTCAGCACTGAGCAATTGGGAGTGGGAGCATGCCTGTGACCAGCCTCATAGTGTAGCCTGGGCTATACAGAGATACCCCTTTTTTAAAAAACAAACTCACACTGTTAACTTTTTAGGTGTGATAATGACATTTGGGGGGTAATTTTTAAAAAGCCACTCTTTGAAGAGCAATATACTGTAATAATAAGGCTAAAATTATGTGGGATTTCTTTTAAGGTCATCCAGTGAGAGGAGGAGAGAGAAGTATGGGGAATATGGATGGGATCAATATTACTTACAAATTAGCATATATTAAACATTTCATCGTTCTACAAAGAATGCATCAGCATTTCAGCTATATGTTGTTTTACAGTATAGACTCTGTAAGACTTTGTGAATGAATATTTCCAAATGTATATAAATGCAGAGGTGTTTTCCTCTCTATTACCATTCATGCGAGGGGAATTTCTTTATTTCACCTTTTTTTATGCCTTTCAAAGTTTTATTTTTAAAAACTTTGGGTGGGCCAGGGTCATAGCTCAGTGATAGAGTAATTGCCTATCCACTAAGAGAGAAAGACAAACTAACTCCAGGCATTCTTGGACCATGAAGTTGTTTGTCTTTCATTCTAATTGTTTAGCCCAGCAAGGAGGGGTTTTGCATGCCTCAATCCCTGAACCTGAGAGTGAACACAGGAGAATCAGGCATACAAGATCATCCTGTACTACAGGGCAAATTTGAGACCTACCTGGACTCATGTGAGACCCTCCTTAAAAAGCCAAACAGTTTTTAAAAAGTGTTTAGTCTGAAAAGAGCTCATACCTCAGACAGTGGAGGTCTCCAGCCCTTTTGAAGCATTTAAGATGTTTTGCTTCCAAGATAGTAAGATGCCTCAGAGTCCTCTAGATTAAAGAGCCAGGGCAGCTCCTGAGTGAGTTCTGCAGGGCTTCAGGCCTCCCTTGGGACCGACTTCCACAGGCATTGTGCCCTCCCAAACAAGTCAGCATAAAACTCACCATAAGTACACCCTGTAGTGGTTTTCCTTGCTCCAGACCCAGTTAATTAACACAAACCCAGCTCTTAATTTTTCACTTTATAGGCCACCTCTAATGACATTAATTTGTATTTTCAAGGTGGTTTCCCTTTGGTAAACAAGGCTGCCTTTATCTAAATTGTGCAGCATGCTAGTTAAACATACAGATTCCCTGTATCATAGACATCTTGGATCAGAAGCCCTGGAGGGGAAGCCTTGAAGAGGGTCCTTGGGCATGTTTTGGAATGATAGCTAACCTGCTATGGCCGGGGGACAGTAAGTCACCATTATACCTGACTGTCTCTTTTACAGGAGCATCTTGTGCAAAGAAACCTTACATTTTGGAGTAAAATGTAGAAATATTAAATATCAGAATCCCTATCAATTCTAGAATAAAGGAAATTAGCATTATCTATTATTATTGCAGTTGCCAGGGCACTTTGTTGTTGTTGCTGCTGCTGTTTTGTTTGTTTGGTTTTGGTTTTGGTTTTGTTTGTCTTTTGAGACAGGGTTTCTCTATGTAGCTCTGGCTGTTCTGGAACTCACTCTCGTAGACTAGGCTGGCCTGAAACTCACAGAGATCCACCTGCCTCTGCATCCTGAGTGCTGGAATGGAAGGAGTGAGGTACCATTGCCTGACCAAAAAATGTTTTAAGGGTGTGGAATTCTGATATTTAGTTTTTCTTTGTAGTACGAAAAAAATGACATGTGCAAGGATACTTTTCCATTTTTCTTTCACCCCTCCCCCCCCAATGTCTTATATTTTAAAGAAAGGCCCTTCCTTACACTAATCTGACTACATTGTCCCATGGGTAGAAAGGTCTGTGGAATCCACTGGGATAAGGAGATACATAGTACAGTGGCTGGAAATCATATTGTGCAAGTATTTAAATGAACAACAAATCTTTTTGTGATCAGATGGATTTCTCATTTGGGCCTATAAAATTGCAGGACGATGGAGGAAGTCTTGTAATGTAAAATTAAGTACAAATTATAGATAACTATAATAGTCAAAACTTATAGTTAGGTTAGTTAGGTTTTCTAGATATACTAGTGTATAGGCATTCTTCAAAACCTTTCAAAGACCCGTAGAATATGGCATTTAAAGTGGTTTAGAGTTTTTTTTTTTTGACAGTGAGACATAACTGCTCCTGGAAAGACCACTTGCGTCACAAAGAAAGATAGACATTGAAGAAACTCATTATGAAGTTTACTTTCAATATGGCAAAACTAGCCATTTGGGCAAGAAACTGCTCTTGTCTGGACTGATTGACTTTATGCTGTATAAAATGGACATTCAGGACCTACAGGAAAGTGACTGTTGAAACAAGATGGGACACTGCTGCAGGGTTCCTGCTTCATGAAAGAGTCTGCCAGACATTTTGCAGGACACAGAGGAAAGTGACTGACAAACTGCCAATACAGATGGATAGTTTAAAGTTTCCTGCTTTGCTGAGGAGTCTGCCAGACACACTATGGCCTATGGGCTCAAGATGGAACATTACAGAAGAACATCGGGTGACTGGACCAGACAGCGAGTTGTCTCTGTCAGTTCTAGAGTTTATATATTATCCTTCTGTGGTCTTTGATTGAGTTGAAGACAGATAGTCATAGCTATAGCTTTTCTTAGTTATGATAAAAGACAAGTTACATATAAGACTAGACTTACAAAGATAAGATAGATAAAATATTTTCTTTAAATCTTGCTAAATGTTATTGAACTAAATATTATAATTATAGTTCTTGCTTAATAACCGCTCTGTTATATATAATTTGACTAGGTTAAAGTTAAAACCTTTCTTTTTATTTAGACAGAAAAGAGGAGATGATGGGGGAAGTCTTTTATGCATATATTCCTCTTATTGGGGTGATGAGTAAAACACTGTTGGCCAATAGGGAAGCAAGATAGGTGGGACTAGGAGACAAGGAGTATTCTGGGAGATGTAGGAGAGAGGAGTAGTGAAGCATGTGATCTCAGGAGGAGAAGACACAAGAGTCTGGCATTCTTGGTAAGATAAGACCATGTAGAAATATATATTTGTAATTATGGGTTAATAATTAAGACAGAGCTAGGCAATAAGAAGCTCTAGACATTGGCCAACAGCATTATAATTAATACAGCATCTTGTGTGTTATTTGAGGGCTCTGGGGTGGCTGTGGAACTGGGGCGGGAACACCACAACAGGAGAACATCCTAAAATGGACTGTAAAGTAATACAGACAGGGTCTCAAGTAGAACTGGCTGACCTTGAACTCACTCTCTAGCCAAGGGTAACCTTGAACTTGTGCTCCTCCTTCCTGCACCTCCTGAGAGCTGAGTTTACTATCTTGTGTGAACATATCTGGTTTAACTGATGGATCACTGGGAAAAAATTTACATTATTTGTCCCAGGATTTTTGGTATCATCCTGACGGAACAAAAAATTGAGGGTAGCTTCTATTTACTCCCACTTGTGTGGCAGATTTTCCCAGTG